CGGGTGTATGTATGCAACTGGTCATGCCCTCCGCCCACTCGCCAATTGCATTCCCAGCACGTTCTCCAAGCGATGCCAACAGAAAAAAGAAACCGAACAAAAACAAAGTTTTTTATGTTGTTGTTTTTAATTGCGCTTGAATTTGCCTCTGTATATTTTTTGTTGACTTATGGTTATTAAAAGTGGCTACAGGTGTATAAATCAGTTACCTTAGCATTGCAAATATGAAAAAATCAGATATATGTATATTTATCTATATACATTAAGGAAGCTGAAGTTAGAACCAAGAACAGTAAGATTTTTCCCAGTAGAGAACTCTCGAAGTATCTCCACTCTTACTAGCTATTTATGGCAGTTATCAGCTTGCAGGGTATATTACAGTCGTGTCTTCTTTAAGTTCTCCGCTTTTTGTGCGTACCACAGCAATTTGTACTCGACTTTAAATCGTTCTTGTTTACACTCTTCACTCTTCGTAGGTTTTATCAAGCTGTTCTTTTATTTTAATGCCCACTCATAAGGTGTTAAAGGGCATATTGGCTTACCATAATGCCCGTTGTGTTAATTAATACATGTCAGCAACTGACAGACCTTAGGAATATATAATATATATGATATGAAAAAATTAAAAAAAAAAATTCAAATAGAAAAAAAAATATAAATGTAATTTAAAAAAAAATAAGAAAAAAAAATTATTTTAAAACATTTTTAAAAAAATTTAATTATATAAAGAAATATTGAAGAAATTTAATAATATAATATAAAAAAATATAAAAAATATTAGTTTAAATCAAATAAATATACATAAAAAATAAATAAATAATTAAATAAAGTATAAAAAACATATAATTAAATATATAAATAAATTTAATAAATATAATTTATTAAATAAATAAATAAAATATACTTAATGCATTTTGTATAGAAACCATAGCTTAATTCCACCCAATATAATTATTAGTATATGGTTTCTTAAGTGCTCTGAAGCTTTTTAGTATGTTTGAGCGAGTATTGTGTCGTCAGGCACTACCCACAGACACGTGCCTGCTGCCTGCTGCCTGCTCGTTCGCATTGAACATTTCTCATTTGTTTTCGTGGGCTGCCTTTTGTCTTGTTTTCTTTTTTTTTTTTTTTTTTTTTTTTTTTTTGCAAGTTCATTTTCTTTTCCATTTCTCTGTTCTTCTGTTGCTTTCTTTGGAATATTTTTATTCTTTGCTAAAGTTTTTGTTTTCGGGTTATGAATTACGCAACTTTATTGTGTCATATGCACAATTCTGCAACTCATATCTGGAGCTGGTAAAACACATGTTTTAAGCTATTCATTGGGCTACTTTATCCTTAGTCCTTAGCCAGGTTTTCAGGCACTAAAAAAAGAGAGAAAATCATTTTAAATTTTACACTAAATTGACTCTGTGTGAGTGTGTGTGTGTGCAAATTGTGCACGCGCAATTAAACGTGCTTCATTCCCAAAGGGGACAAAATAAAAAACAGAAAAAAGGAAAAACTTAATTTGGCTGTGAAAATAAATGCTTGGCCAACAATTTTCATTGCCTGTCTGAATTTTTGTACGTTTGTGGCAAATATTTGTTCAATCTGAGTGTTTTTTTTTGTTTTTATTTGCTTTTGCCAACTGCAAAGAAAACTTTAAAAATTGTTTGCCATTAGCTCATTTATTTAGGATTTTTCTAAACTTTTGCTGCTGCTTCTTCTCCTCTGTTTGCACTTTATAATTTTGTTGATTTGCATATTTAATTTGAATTATTGAGGGGCGCCTTTGTTTAGTAAACTTTTCATACAAATTAATGTGTGTGCGAGTGTATGTTGTCTTCGTTTTCTAAATTTCAATTGCTCAAAACTTTTGCCAAAGATATTCAAGTTTGTAGATTTTTATATTATACAAATTATGGGCAAAATAAGTTTGATTTATGTGTTTTCAAATTTTATAAAAATTAGTTGTTTATATTTTTATTTTTTATTATATATAAAAAATTCAGAAAGAAATTTGCCACAAATTGTAGCTTAAAGTCGGATAAGCTTTAATGTTTGCTACAAATGTTGTCTGTCATTTGTGCTACGTTTCTATTACCTGATTTTATATTGTATATTCGGTTTTGCGCAAAACTTTTGTAGGGCTTGTGCACAAAATCCGAACACAATACGCAATATATGAAATGTGAAATTAGGCACGTGTTTGCATTGCACAGCTGAGCATCATGTAAGCAGTAGACACGCCCCTCAACCCGCCTCTAAACTTTCCATTTCTTGCAACAATAACAACAAAAATGTTCATGTGTGGCAAACAATTTGATGTAAACTTCATGCACAATGAGCAGCTTCCAACAACAACAATGATGAAGATGGGAAGGGAGAGAGGTAGAGGTAAAAGAAGACCATTGCCATTGGTCAAGCAAGAGCTTACTACACACAGACACCCCCTCTAGTTGTCTCCCTCGCTCTCCCACTCTCTTTGTATATAGCATGCATAATGCGCTTAACAAAGTTTTTGATTGTATTACATAGATATGCCAAGAGGGAAAGAGAGAGAGAGACTGAGATGGAGAATGTTTGTGTTTATGTATCTTATGCAATTTGTTTAGTATTTTCATATAAATTGCATCGATTACGAGATTACAAACATTACTCAATCTAATCCTTCAACCGGCAACTGGCAACTGCATTATTGACCAAAAATTCCAAGTAGATAAACGACAGGCGACTTTCATATAGCCCATACATAGGTCTATACACTAGGGTTCATTTGCAGTTAAATGTTGTGTTTTTAGCATCGTTTTATCTCAGTTGTATTTTAATTTATGCAAATTTTTTTGTTTCGCCTTTATCTTGTGCGCTTCATCGTTTACAAATTGTTTCTTTTGTGTGTATATCTGTTATGTTGGCCTGGGAAAATGCGCATAATTGTTGGCTTTAAATGTAAATGAATTTCAATTAAAATTAAGCACACTTGCACGCAACAGCACTGATCGCAGACATATATATTTTCAAAAATGTGTGCGGCAGACATATGCTAATTGCCTCGAAGTCTGTTTTATATACAAATGTATTGCGTGTATAATACCCTGTAAAAGTGATTGGAGCTTAGGATTGCTTACGTTCATGTACTAAATGTCTTAAAGACGGTTTTGTATATGTGCTGCTTGTTTAATACCCTGTAAAATGTGAGTGGAGCTTAGGATCGCTTGAGTTCCTATGGGAACTGCATCGAAGAATGTTTGATATGCATGTATTGCACTGTAAAGCGTGAGTTGAGGTAAGAATTGATTAATTTAATATAGTAACGGCTTCGAAATGGTTTGTATATAGATTGTCTGTATAATACCCTGTAAAAAGTGAGTGAATTAGGGTTGCTTATGCTTCAGGAATGTGTCTGAAGAGGCAGGTGAGGTTGAGAGCTGTGTTGTTAATGTAAGACAGTTTCTTATTGACTGATGAGCTTCGCAGCATCTGTGCTGTTTAAGAATTGATAGAAACTTCATCCCTAAGAGTCCCTAAGAGTCCTTAAGAGTCTGTGAGCTCTCTCTTTGCTTGCACAGCCAAAGTATTTTGTAGATAGGCTACAGGGTATCTAGCTAGTCCAGCACTCGTCATTGGCATGTGCTTCTATTTTTGAATTTATTTATTGTTCTCGAGCGTTTGCCAATTCCAAAGTTTTGGCTGCGGTTGCCCAAAGACACGAATTAATTTGAAAACTTCACAGCAAAAGTTCTCAGCATATAAATTTGCTGTTGTTGCTGGCTTTATTTTTTGGGGTTTCACACATAATTTTTAAGTAATCAATCGAGAGTCGTTTGTTGTGGTCGGAGACCGTCAGCCCATCAGACCGTCAGCCCCCCAACGCCCACCCAATCGATTAAGTTAATTGTTTCGGTTTCTGTCTGACACAATTTATATATAAATATTTATGGATTGTCTTTTATGTGAGTTGCTCATAAATTCCATTTGTAAACATAAATCAGCCCAGAGACGACCAGATATATGTCTATATATATACATATATGTAAACATACCCAAACGTTACTTGGCAATTGCAGGTAAAAAGTATTTTTTTTTATCAAAAATTAACTTTTCTGCATAGTTTTTTGCTTGCGTCGACTTTTTAGTGTTGCCAAATATGCAACTGCAATGGAAATAAAGTTGTTGTTCAACACTCACACATTTGCGTGTTATTTAAGCGTAAAACCAATTATAAAAGTTGTACAATATTTTCTCATATAACAAAAGTTAAGCGCAAAAAAAGCGCTAACCAACACTGGGCCGGCAACAGGAGTTGTGTGTGGAACCTCACACAGCTTTACTACGGCGCTCCAAAGCGTCAAAGCGGCAAAAAGCTGCAGGGCCCAGGATGAAGCGCGGCAGAGAGCGGGAGAGAGAGCAGCTCTGCTCATTTCATATTGATTAACAGCAAATCCATCAGTGTCATTGTGGCTAGGCTTTCGGGAGCGGGGCGCCTCTCATCAGAACTAGCTCATTTACACATTACAATGGAAGCACAAAAACAGGGGCCAGAGGGAACGAGGACTGAACTGCAACAGCGACAGCAACAGAACTTAATATCAGCTGGCCTGACGGCTGGGTCTCTCACTCCCCCTTTGTGTGGGAAAACAAAGGCATTAGCAGCTCACAGCAGGCGAAGAGCAACAGTAGAGGGCACCGAAATGGGGCTGGCCCAGGTGCGAACGTGCGAAAACGTAGCGAGTGCAAAACCCCTTTTGCATAAACTTGACTTAATTAGCTGTGCAACAAACTTGGCTATTTAAACAGGTGCTGAAGTGTATAAATAGAGGCAGTGGCAGAGTCGAGCTGAGAGCTGTTGCAAATGAGTCAAGGAGCAGAGGGAAACATCGATGTGGTTGCCCCAAGCGTTACTCAATTCCTATTTGCTAACAGAGGAGAGAAAAAAACGAAAGAAATTAGACAATTAAACGTAAATAGCAAGCTAGCTATGGCAAACAGTGTTGGAAAATGACTAAACTTGGTTTTAGGTCATTCATTCATTTGGATAAGAGAAAAACTTTGCAGGAAACAGCTAAAGTTAACACAGTGTTGCAAAATGGCTTATTAATCATTTGTGCAGTGTTGAACAGTTTTCAGTGTTAGGAAATGCATGTTAAAAATTAATTGCTTTCAACTCCCTCTAGCTCTGAGGCAACTTTTTTAGTATCCACCGCTCGACGTCCAACATCGAGCTCTCCATCAGCTCATGTGCTGCATTATCCAGGGTCGTAAACGTTCCACTTACGCCCAAATTTTGCAGCTTGTCGAAAGTATCTAGACCCCATTTGTAGGCCACGATATCGTCGCTTGTGCCATGGAACATGCAGAGTTCTGGATGCATTGACTTGCCCTCCAGCGACTCGTAGACAATCGACTCGCGGTTCAGGAACGCGGAGTGCGCAAATACGCCCGCCAGCTCCATATTCAGGCGATAGCCCGTGTGCAGAGCCAGAGCTCCGCCCATCGAAAAGCCACCGACAATGATGCGATCCGTCGCTACGCCTAGATCCACCTCATTCTGTATTAGTCCATTTGCTATATCGTAACTCTTAGACATGCTCTCCACCTCTTCGGGTGCGTCAATGTCAACGGATGTGCGATTGAACCACACCGTGGATATTTCATCGCCAAATGGCGTATATTTCTGCTTCGGCGCTGTGGGAAATATATATTTGATATGCGATCCAGCGAAATCGCGTCCGATCAAATTGCGCACCCACGCGAGTACATTGGGTCCCGTGTCGCCCGAGCCGTGAAAGAATATAACACTAGCCGACTTGCGTATCATTGAAGACACTGAAAGTTATTTGAAGTGGAAGGTGGATGCTGAACTAAATAATATATATAATATGACATTAGAAGTAAAGTTTTTGTAGTAGTCAAATTTGGGATAGTAGTGAAAGCAGTTTTAAATAGTTAATGTGCTTGGTATGAGCAGTTAATATATGCATTTATATGAATATATGATATATTTATATATATATATATATGAATTTTAATGGAATAGTTATAATAGTTTCCAAGTTAGGATCGTGTAGCCTAGTTTTTAATTTATTAATTTAATTATTTGTATATATATAGCTGTATATAGCTCCTTATATATAGTGAATATATTTGACTTGAGGTGTCTGTATATATATTTTAAGTGGGATACTTTTCGTACTACCCGAGTTAGGATCGTTGCTAAGTTTTCTTAATAGCTCCTGTTTCAATAATATGATATAAAGACATAAGACTTGTATGGTCCAAATTTTAGCAATATATTACTCAAAGTACTCCAGTTAAGATCGTAATTTATATATAATTATAATTTGATACGAAGTTATATTTGTCTATACATTGACTTGAAATATATAAATATATGACTTCAAGAGTCTCTATACCAATTTTAAGCAATATAACTCATGCAGCTCCCGAGTTATGATAGGTAAGTAATATTTAATATAGTGGTATGTAAAGCTCATATGTCACTAATGGACTTTAATCGACTTTAAATCATCTATAAATTCGTCTACACTTCAAAGGCAAGCATTTCTCTAGTTAGGATCAGAAAATTTTATTTTCATATTTAAAATGAATTGAAATTGGGGCTGCAGTTCGAAACTGCCTTGCACGCCGCCTCGTCTGCTCATTTGTCACAGCATTTTATTGAACTGTTTTTTTTTTTTAGATTGCTCTTAGATTGTGCGAGTTTTAGCCTCTATCGTCTATCCTAATGGTTCAATAAACAACGTTTATGGCGTGACATCTTTCACGCAAATGTTTTTCCGAGGGGGGACGTCGCCTTTCATTCGGTTGCCCCAACATAGATTAGGTAGGTGCCATTAGAGCGAGGCATTCACCTTCTTTTTTTCCCTGTATTTTGGCTTGACCACTTGAGAAGCTATTAATATTATCTATATGGCCGGTCAACATTGTCGCGCTTTTTGAAAAGTGCTTCAATAAATTAAAACAAAATAGAAAAGAGCCCAAAATGCTGTCAACCTATATAAGAACCAAAAAAAAGACCTCCAAACGATTTCCCAGTCAATGAAGCGAGGTGTGTGTGCGAAGGGAATTCAAACTGGAGCAACTGCATGAGAACAACAACAAAAACACGTTTGCTCCAGTTCTGTTGTTGTTGTTGCTGTTGCCGTTGTCTCTTTGGCAATCGTAGCTCTGACCAGAAACTAAAAACTGGCGTCGACAACGACGCACAATAAATTTTCCAGCTCCTGTTCTGCTGCGTCCGTCTCCTGCTCACGCTCGTTGTTGTTCGTTCCGTGCGTCAAGTGACCCGAATATTCTATTTTTTGCTGCTTTCTTTCTTTTTGGGGCCGCGACTTGACAAGGGTTAAATAACATATAAAAAAAGAAAAGAAATTCCCAAAAAACACGACCAACAACAACAACAAAAAGTTGTGAAATGTAACAAAAATAAAAGTTGCATTTCACCTAAGCCCCCAAATGCCCTTATTGCTGACCAACTGAGCACTCCAGGCTCGGCTACTCCTCCTCCATATGGCACTGAACTGGCTGCGAACTAGTTCAAGTTTAAAAGGTGCAGAACTAAACTGAAAACTCAACTTGAATTGAGTTGAGCGATTTATGTTAGTTGGCAAACTGAACGGAAGTGCGAAGGGATGCGAGGATTATGATGAACCATTATAGAGAGAAGCAGAGCAGAGCAAAAAATACATATAAAAAGTATGGCTTACACTTATCAAAAACTTTTAGTATTCACAAACTGTACAGCGAAAATCCTGAAATGTGGGTCAAAGTTGAAGTTAAAATTATTCGGTTATTTTTTTATTAAATTTATGCCAATTTTTTTTTTTGTGTTTTTGCATAAGCTTTCAATTTAGTTATTTTAATTAAAAATAATTGTAGTTCAAGTGGTTTAAACGGTTCCTAATTATTGAGTCAGTTCAGTTTATCTTAGGAATTTGTTAAGGATCTTTTCAAGAAAAAAATATTTAGAAATGTTACTCGAAATAAGAAACTATAGCCATAACACAAAAATTGCTATGCCCATTTGTCAACTAGAAAAAAAGACTTTAATTACTATAGTAATTACATTCAAAATAATAGGAATTACATTAGAAATACTTGCAATTACTTTAGTAATTATGTTAAAATAAAAGATAATTCCTCAAGATTGGAACTAATTTTCTGTATACAAATTGGAATTGATATAGAAATGATTATTAATTTATGTTTACAGCCAATTAATTTTTGGTAATTAAAAAAGAGAATTTTATTACTAAAATAATTTTAGAGCCAGAATAATTTGATTTTGATATCTCAAGTAATGAAGAGTAATTACAACAATTCTTAGTACAAGTCATTAAGCATAATTATAATTTTCTACATTATGTAATTACACAAGTAACTAACAGCAAATCAATTACTTTCATAATATTTTTACTGCTACTAATTACCCAAGTAGTTGTAGTTGCCATAATCAACAAAGTAATTTAAAACAAGTAAGAAAGCTCTACTCGGGGTGCCCGACTAGGAGATACCCTGATCCTAGTCCTTTGAGTTTTGTAATATTTTCCGTAGTTTGTATCGAGAATTAAAAAAAAAAGAAAACAAATAAAAATCGACATTGCGAGACCAGGATTCGAACCCGGATTATTTGCGCAACGTGCACAAACTCTACCAACACCGCCACTTCATAACTAAAAAAAAAAAATAAAACAATAAAAAACATTTCATCTCCTCTGGTCTCGAACCCGGACCAAGCTGCATACGAGCGGCGCCTATACCAACGCAGCCACTGCCCTTCTTTCGCGAGTTGTTGCAAATTTGAACATAAGTAGCAGCTAATAATTCAGCACAATTCAATCGCAATTTCAATTCTTGGAATAGAAAAGAATGCACGCATTTGAATGTATGTGTGCACACGCATAGGAAAAATGCGTGCGCGTGGCGCTGCTGACATGTGCTTTTGCAAATTGGCCAAACGTTTTGTTTAATAACTTCTGTTTTACTTAATGGATTTTAATGAAACTTTCAGCATATGATCTACATATCCTATTGGCTTGGTTGAGATGCAAACGCCTTCACATAATGGCCCTAGCTCCAACTAAACTTAAATTCTAAGAATTTGGGGGAATTTGGAGCCGGTATCCAAAATCCAACAAAAATCAAAATTGCATAAAATATACATAAGACTAAATACAAAATTTGGAGGCTCTAGCTCTTAAGACTTTCGAGATATAATTTATTTACTGCATTTCAATAATGTTTTTATTCGATAACAATTAAATGCGAATAGTTATCGAATATTTGAAACAAACTTGACCTGCGCGTGCTATACACGGACCTACAAAAAAAATTTCAAGTCTCTAGCTCTTATAGATGCTGAGATCCACGCGTTCACACATACGGACAGACGGACAGACGGACAGACGGACAGACGGACAGACGGACGGACAGACAGACGGACAGGGCTCAATCGACTCGGCTTGTCGTCCTGATCAAGAATATATATACTTTATGGGGTCTGCCACGCCTCCTTCTGCCTGTTACATACATTTGCACAAAACCATTATACCCTGATTTCCCATTTTTAATGGGATCAGGGTATAAAAATTTATTATCATAACAATTTGTTATTGAGTTCTTTAATAACCTAAGTAATTGAAGGTAATTAGAGCGATTATTTTTAATTTGAACTACCTCAGTAATTGAGAGTAATTAAAGCAGAAATATGTATTTAGTAATGTAATTTCTTAAGTATGTCCTCCTGCCTAACAGTAATTTCCAGTAATTACAATGATTTATCCAACATATCTCTATGTCTCCTTAATTGTTATTATTATTCAAGGCTTTGATTCACACCTGTCTGTGAACTATAAACCAAAGCTGATGCGTGTTGCTGGCTGAGTGAGCTGGAAGCTGGCTCAGATTCACGCTGTGGCGAACAGCAGCAGTCGTGCAGAGCCTGCCTGAGTCGGCATTCGAAATGCCTTTTGCCATGCTCTAAGCTCTTGATGGCCGGAGAGCCCGACGCAGTCAGCCTGATGGTGGACTTAAGCCGTTAGCATTGTCCATTTGTTCGTGCTGTCTGCCCGGGGGCAGATTTACGCATGAAATGCGCTTGGCTGCTGCTGCTGCTTCTTCTTCTTCTTCACTGCTTCTTGTTGCAAGCATCCATCCAGTCCATCAGAGGAGTAACAACAACAGAATGGGGATTTCGACTTGCTAAAATTGCAGCTGGGGAATTAGGCGGGGCGGCAAGAGGGCGAGTGGGCCATTTCTTGGGCGCAGCAGCCGCCTGCCATCTGAGCGCAAGTTGATTATTTTTTTTAAAGCATATTTCCGCAACAACTATGCCACGCCCCCACTCTCTATCTCCTGCTGCTACTGCGCCACGCCGTGTCATTTCTCTTGCAGTTGCTTTGCGTTTGTAAGTCTCAGCGCTAAGTTGGCGCTAAATTAAAAACTTTTGCTTTGCATATATTGCACAAGAGAGGAAGGGAGAGAGAGTGAGTCCCAGCTGAGCGTTGCAATGCACCAGCGAAAGGTTGGGGGCGTGGCATACTGTTGCATTTTTTACATGGAGCAGCAACGACTGAGTGGAAAAAAGTTTTTGCTTGTTTTGGCTCGAAAGTTTTTTAACTTGGCTTTTGCTGCTTGTAAAACCAATTCCAAGGAAAATGAAAGTAATTTTGTTTTTTTCCATCTAACATTTAAATATTGTACAATATAATAAAAGTCAAGAGAGGGAGAGAGAGAGTGGAGCCTGGGGCTTTAGTAGAGCATTTGTAGACTACTTCGCTGACAGCTGCACAATGTTTGCCATTTCAAAATTTC